CCCCACACTACTATTCTTGAAGTTGTCGCCCCACACCCCTTCCCCCCCCGCCGCCCCTCTCTGTTCCCCCCCCCCCCCCCCCCCCCCCCCCCCCCCCCCCCCCCATCATCTGTCATTGTGTTCTTCTGTTATGGCAGATTATCTGTTTAGCATCACAAATTAGCATTCAAAACTTTCTGTACTTAACAGCAAATTCTGAAATAGTTATTGGTTCTTGGTTTTGATCTGAACTTCGGTGTGGGATCAACAGTGTTGATATTTTCCCTTTAACTCTTGGCCTGTGAGCTGAGCTGGAGAAGTTATTAGAACAGGAATGTTATGAGTTATGTTAAGAAGTCTTGACTTCTGACTCAAACAGGAAGTGCTGGAGACACTCGGCAGGTCTGGCAGCATCTATAGAGAGAAAAGGCAATTTAATGTTTCAAGTCCACTGACCCTTTGTTAGAACTTGTTTTATGACTGTTGTCTTTGGCTCTGGGATCATACTTTCCTCCATGAATGGCTCCAAAGTTATCTAGGAACACCACCTGTAAGATCCCCTTCAATCCACACACCATCCTTACTTGTAATTGCAGAGTGAGTAATTGTATTACAACTTGGAAAGATGCCCGTTGGCCCATTGAGTCTGCAGCAGTCATAAAACGCCTATCTTCTCTAATCCCATTTCTCAGCATTTGGCCCATAGCCTTGCGTGCTCTGGCCTTAAGTGTTCATCTAAATACTACTAAAATGTTGTAATGTTCCAGTCCCTATCACCCTTTCATGCAGAGTTCTAGATACCCATTACCCTCTCTAGATGAAAAAGAAATGATCTCCTTAAATCCCCCGTTTTAAACCTCCTGTCTGTTACCTTAAAATCAATGCACTCAGTAATTGATCCCACTATTAAGACTAAAAGTTTATTCCCTATCAACAATGTCTAAGCCTCTCATAAGCTTGCACACCTTAAACAGGCCCTGATTCAAACCTCTCTGCTCTAAGAAAAACAGTCCTAACTTATTTAGTCTCATCATAGCAGAAATGCTCCACCTTAGGCAATAACTTGGTGAATCTCTTCTGCACCCTCTCCAGAGTACTCATATCCTTCCTTTTAGAGTAGTGACCAAACCTGCAACCGTGATCTAACAAATATCCTATTCGGCTCTATCCTAACACCCTCCAGTTCTTGTATGGCTCAATAAAACCAAGTATCCCGTTTGCCACCTTAATCATCCTGTTCACGGACCTATGGACATGCTTACCAAGGTCTCCCTGATCCGGAGGACCAGCCAGGGTTCTGCCATTTGTGTACTCCCTTGCTTTGTTAGTCTTCCCAAATGTATCACTTCACACTCTTAGGGTTGAACATCCATTTGTCAATGTGTTTTGCTGATCTGACCAGCTTGTCTGTTATCCTGCAGCCGAAGGCTTTCTTCCTCACTGTTTACCATGCCACCAATTTTTGTATAACCTGTGTACCTGCTGATAAAACTTATTTTTATGTCCAAATATTTAATATACACGACAAACATCAAGGGACCCAGACCTGAACCTTGTGGTATGCCACTGGAAAAGAGGCTTCTATTCACAATAGCAATCTTCAGCCAGCATCTTTTGTGTCCTACCACAGCCAATTTTGACTCCAATTTGCCCTGGATCCCAAGGGATCTTACCACCTTGACTCCCATCCAACATCTTGTCAAAAGCCTCACTGAAGTTGATGTAGATCAACTGCACTACCTCATTGACACACCTAGTCACTTCAAGGAATTCAGTCAAATTTGTCAGATGTGATTTTCCTCTGACAAAATTATACTGACCCCTTCCAATTAATCCTTGATTATCCTAGTGAAGATAAATTCCGTTCCTCAGATTTTCCCCAAGGTAATTCTATTACTCTTCCTTCAGCGTTCTTGGGTCAAAATCTGGGAACTTCAGGAATGTGGTGTGTGTTTTACAAATTTTACCCAACAAAGCAATGAAAATTGAGAAACTAATGTGATACTTTGCATCCTGGATGCCGTGCTGTGAAGAGAAGTTGCAAGACGACTTTGAATGAAAAGGCAAAAACAATACAATTGGCAGAAAACCCGAAAAACAAATATAACCCAGAAAAGGTCCTGAAGATCATTTGGCAGTTAGGAAGGCAAATGCAATGTAAATTCATTTTGAGAGGGCTAGAATATAAGGGCAAGAATGTACTGCTGAAGCTGTATGAGGCTCTGATCGGACTGCATTGGGAATATTGTGAGTAGTGTTTGGCTCTTTCCTAAAGAAGGATGTGCTGGCCTTAAAAGGGATCCAAAGGAAGTTCACAAGAATGACCCTGGGGATATGAGGAACAGTTGAGGACTCTAGGTCGTACTCAATAAGAGTTTAGAAGGATGAAAGGGATTTCATGAAAAATAACAAAATACCAATGCCTGGATAGAGTGGATGTTGAGATGTTTCCACTAGTAGGAGAGACTAGGACCTGAGGGCACAGCCTCAATGAAGAGAGAACCCTTTAGAACCGAGATGAGGAGGAATTTGTTCAGCCAGAGGATGGTGAATCTGTGGAACTTGCTGCTGCAGAAGGTCTTTAAGGCACATGGGTTCTTGACTAGTAAAGGGGACCAAAGGTTCTGGGGAGAAGGGAAGAAAATAGGGCTGAGAAATGATCGAATGGCAGAGTAGACTAGATGAGCCAAATGGCCTAACTCTGCTGCTGTATCTTATGATTATAAAAGCAAGAACAGCCAAACCCATTTTGTCCTGCTGGCGACTGAAGAAGCAACACAAATGTTGGAAGTCACCCCAGCTAGTAATGATGTAGCTAGTAAAAAAAAATCAAATAACAACGTAGCAACTGAGCGAAAGGCTGTGTAACAGGACCACTTTGTGACTCAGTTCAAGTAGACTTTTGATGTTGGTGGGGTAGTGCAATTATTAGCTTATGTTAGCTGTGTTTGGCTGGGGAAAATTCTTGAAGATTTTCTCTTTTGTCAGGCTTTACCAGAACAAGCAACGGGTGAGGAAATATTCAGGTGATTGGAATTTCATGGATATGGAATCACTTAAGAGGGAGAACTGTTTCTATTTACGTGGACGGTACTCCTAGAGTGGTTGCAAGAATAAACTGTAAATCCACAGGTAATGGTGAGACATTGCATTATTGCTTCACCAATACCTTGCCTAGAATCTGAATGACACTGATAAATGCAGAGCTCGCACAACTTATTGCAAAACCAACTGTAAATGGTGGGAGTTTTTTAGTCTTTACAGTGGGGAGCGAGGCACAGAATAATACAGTCCCCAAAGGCAGCATATTTCTGAAATTATTCAGCGTAGCTTTCTGGATCAAGAAAACAGATCACTTGCAATGTGCATGAAACTTTCATTTGAAAGTATGACCACATCTAGGTAAGTGACCATACTATGTTCAAATTCAGTATTAGGTTGGACAGAAGAGCCATGAATGTGTTTTAAATTTAGTAAGTTTGACTTTGGAAAGATAAGGTAGATTTGTAATAGATTGGGAAAAACTATATTCATTGACTGTGTAGATGAACAACGATGTCTTTAATAAATATGACTCATTGGCATACTTTCCAGGGCAGGAAAGTTGACAAAGTTTATTACATGAGGAGCGTGAGTTATATGAAATAAAACACTTGTACAAAGGCATTAAGAGTACAGGTTGGAAGAGAAATAAAGAACAGTAAAGGATAATAAGAAAGTGACAAATACCGTAAAAGGGGAATAAGAGGAGAAGCTTGCGAGGGATATCTAGGCCAAAACTGAAAGATTTTAGTTGTAAGTTAAGAGTAAGTGGGTGGCTAGAAATAATGAGTCTCTCAATGATAGTTACGTGTGATTTATAATTGGAAATCAGGAAATGACTTGCTAAACAGCCCCTTTGTTTCAGATTTCACAATCCCCATTGTGGTACTTAAATACCCCTTTATCAAAATTGCAAGTTTGCAAATTGTCTGTTTTGTAAGCTATCCCTCTTTGTCCTTCTCGATCTGCCTGCCTCTGCAACCTTTCGTCTGAACTCTATGTTGTGGTCAATAACTTAAGAGCCTGATTCCGTCCATCCATGTTTTTTACCCACCCCCACACCCAGTCCTGTCAGACATGGGTTGCTTTTAGTATAACCAACCTATTCTCAGGCCTATTATCACATCATGTGTTCTGAGGAAGGATCACTGGACCCACAACATTAACTCTGATTTCTCTCCACAAATGCTGCCCGATCTGCTGAGCTTTACCAGCAATTTGTTTTTGTTTCTGATTTCCAGCATCTGCAGTTCTTTTGGTTTTTATCACATTACAAGGGTCATTTACAGCACAGCCTTCCTGTTCTCTCCTATTCTCAGTGCTTATTATCACTTATTCAGCTTTTCTGACATGGCCTAATGGCAATGACCACCTCGTTTGCCTACCCCTTTCAAATCTCTCCTGGCTCCCACCTCTTTTCCTTGGTTCCCCTTTACAAGTGTAAATCATACCACCTTTTCCTAGCTGCTATCAGTTCTGATGAAGAGTCACTAGACTGAAAATGTTGACACTGCTTTCTCCCAACAGATGCATCCAGACCTGCTGAATTTTGCCAGCAATTTCTGTTTCTGTTCCAGCCAAATATTAC